CCGGAGCGCTGGAACGCCGCCGCCATCGGGCGATTGCGACACATCAAACTCACTCAACACCCAAAATTCTCCTCTCTGAGAGCCCCAAAATCACAATAAAACCCCTCATTCCTACCTCTTTAGTYAAATCCCCGTTYCCCGGCGCCGCCACAGCTCCCAAATCCTCCAGCTCCTCCCCGAATCCCTGCTCGSTTCCTCCGTCCCGCACTCCTGCGTCGCCGCCGCCTCCATCCTGCTGCCCCCCGGCCACGGATCCCTCGGGATCTCTGTGCACCAACCACGCACTCAGCTCCGTGCTGGGCACCTGGAATCTATCCAGAGCCCTCACCCTGCTCAGCAAACGGCGGGCKGTGAAATAATAATCCAAATCGACGCTTTTGGGGTGGATGCCATAACCGTCCAAGGTGTTGCGGAGGTTGTGGAATTGGGTCTGGGTGTAAGCCGAGCTTTGGCCCAGGATGATCTCGCGTAAAGGGGGGAGTTGTGAGGTCAGGTAGGTGTCCACGTCCACGCGAACGCCGATCAGGCTCAGCAGGATGGTGAATTGGATCAGGCCTTCGGTGAAGTATTTCTTCAGAGAGAGCATTTCTGRGTGAAAAGGAAAAAATAAAAAAATAAACGGGGATGGAGGGTGAGGAGAAACAACAACAAGGAGCTGGCGGTGGCGGAGGGAGAAACCTCTGCACAACAGGTTGGGTGGGTCTGGCTTTGCTCTGCCCCACTTTCCCAACAGAATGATTTCAGGCACRCAGAACACAGCTAAAAAACGGGATAAAAGCGTAAAAAAAYGCTCAAATATTTTTGAGTTCAAYRGGGYGCGGTTTTCTGCAGAAAATTCCGCRGAACCGCAGAAAATCAAAAGGTTTGGAGCCGGAAAAGCGGCCAACTCTCCCCAGCAGCTCCACCCTCGCCTTCCCTTTTGTTTTTATCGCGCAGAGCACGCGGAGACGCCAATTCCATGTGACTTACTGTCCCAAAACTCCACATCCAGCGCCTTCCTCTGTGCCCCCGCAACTCCCCGCGCTCCGGGCCGGGCTCCGCTCCCTCCAGCAGCTCCTCCTTCCCCTTCTCCTTTTCCTTTCCCTTCTTCTGCTCCCGACGCTTTTATTTTTTTTTGTTTTTTTTTTGAAGGAGCCTTTTATGAGTCAAAGGTCCCGACCATGGGAAGGTCCAAAGACTCCTCCGCTCGCGGCCGCGATTTCATCAGCAGCTGAAACGTAACCAGAGAGCAAACACGGTAACGCCGGGGCACCACCCTGCGCACGGCCCCGCCAATTCCCGGCGATTTTTTTATGGAATCGCCGCTTTTCCTGCCGAGCCCAGGCCGAGCCACCTCCGGGGACAGCGCTGTCCGCCTGCCCGAGCTATTCTTAGGCCGGTGCGTCAACTTGCCGCTGTCCGCAGGAATCCGTTCCCGTGTCCGCGCTCGGCCCGGGCCAGGGGCTGTTCACGGAACACCGGGAGCGCTGCCGGGCCCGCCCCGCTCGCACCGCGCCAGGGGAGAA